TTTCTGTCCTGAAATCAACACAGGGAGACAAGTTCAAATCCAGTGTCTGTGGCTCATAGCTACAGACTCTTGGCAAGTCACTCAACAGCTTTGAGCCTCTGTCTCCACAGAAAACGCCTTCTGGGCTCCTCGAGGGATTACACACAGGTGAGTCTTTCTCTTAAGAATTTCAGTTTCCTTTCTCTGCCTTTCCCGACCCACCTCCTCATGTCTCCCCAGCAAATCCGTAGCCTTTAAGCCACACCTTCTATTCTGAATCATCCTGTATTTCCAAATTTCTTTGCTTCTGTGTGCTTCCTCCCCTCCAACCTGCCTTATTCCTACATACACGCTGTGGCATGTGGTGGTCGCACCTCACATTCTCTGTGAAATACTGGCCTTACTTCTTCTGCAGCCTGAGCTACCACCTTTGCCACGTTGCTCTCTCTATTCTAGCATAGGCAGGTGGTACTGAAATGATTTATTGGTGTCCCTTTCTTCTCAAAGTTCTTGAAGGGAACTTTATCCCCAAAACCTAACAAGGCAGCCTGCAGGAGTGGGAGGTCTGTCTCATGCTTTATTCTGGTTGGTGTCTTTTCTAATAAAGATGCAAGTTTTTTCACAGTTCCAAGTCAATCATTCCTAAATATATTCCTAGAAGTAGAATAAGACCCCACATGACCGTGCCAGGATATTAAAGACATAGCTAAGAGGAAATTGCTCCAGTTTTTCAAAACCAAAACATGCAAAGGAAGTGTAACAGGGTGGTCCCCAGGAAAGGGACCACCTCCCACCCAAGGGAGGGTGGAGCTGAGCAGGAAGAGGAGAAGCTGCAGGAGAGACTGAGGTAGGAAGCAGGATGGAGCCAGAAGGAGACCTGGAGGAGGTGCATGGAGCCTAGAGACACGTGAAGAAACTGCGCTTGTCTTTTGGTCGTGGACGGGGTGACACAGATGTGGGTGAGACCCATGGGGAGGTGACCATGGCAGCTTTTATTTTGATGTTGATTTTGCTCTTTTCCTTCCGGCCTTGTCCGGTTGTTTGTGACCCTTTTCTGTGGGTCCCCACTGGAAGATGCTTTAGACTTGGGGCAGGCTTTGGGGCCTTGTTCTGGGCCGATCCCATTGGGATGGACTTTTACCCACGAGGGGACGGGGAACTTTGGGTGCTTGATTTAGAAACTAGATTCTTTGCCTTTCCTGTATTGTTTCCTAGTTTTATTAAAGTTCCTTTTCATTAAAGTCTCCTATGTTTTGTGTTGATGCGGCAGATGGCAGAACCCATTTAGAATAGGCAGGTTTGCGGGGTTTTGGGCTGCCCCTCTCCCTGTCCTATAACAGAAGCAAAGATCCTAAGTGGCTGGGGGCACCCACTCTTCAGTGGACAGTGCTGACCCGACTGCCAGCTCCTCCCAGACACTGTCCTGGGCTATGAATTAACCACAGACCTGTCTACACCACCCATATGCAAAGGCATAACACCGAAAAGACCAGAGAAAACTTAGCTTTTCCGACCTGCCTGCCAAGACAATGATGGAAAAATTGAAATCAACAGAGAATGTACTACATCGAGCAAGTTGAAACAGTGAGCTTGTCAATTAGATGAAAAAAATTCTCAAGCTCCAGACTTACCTATATGTATATTCTGAAGATAAAATACCATAGCATAAATATCATTTAAATGTACACCAAAAGGTAAAATAAAACTAAAGTTTGGGGCCCTCCCTGGTGGCAGAGGGGTTAAAAACATAGTCTATCAAGCTATCGCCAGCCATTGCAGCACAAGTTTGATCCCTGACCAGGGAGCGGACCCACATGGCACAGCAGACCTCTCCTGTCTTGCCCGCTGCTCCCTTCAGCAGTGTATTTCAGTGGATCTGTCTGTTCTGTTCCCCGTTCTGTCTCTAGTGAATCCTCTCACCCTCCTGCATCTCTGGCCGGCACCCCAGCTCTTGTGTGCATAAATAAATAAATCTTAAAAAAAAAATAAAGCTAAAGCTTGGAGAGCTAACCACCTTGAAAGTGAGACCAACTAAAACAGTGTGCACTGGAAACCAAGGGGTGTGGGCGTTGCCAATCAGCCAAAGACCCTGGCCAAGTGATGTAGGCTCGTGACGGGAGATAAAAACAGATCTATGAAGTCCAGTCTAGCTCCAAACAGGCTGTTTCCCATTTTTAAAGGTGTTAGTGAGAATGTTAGGAAAGTCGAAAAACACATTGTGTCCACCAGAGGGCAGATCTTGCCCGAGGAAATCTAAACAGGGCTCCTGTACCAGGCCACTTTTATTTTTGTCTCAATTTTCTCTTAATTCCCACAGCCCCCAACCCCACTAAGAAAACTGCTGGAGATCGATTAAAAACCAAAACACACTTGAATGTGAACTCTATTCTTAAAGACTCCATGTGCCGAGTTAATTCAGGCAAATATGTTATTCCCTTCACATCAGCATCTGGGAGGTTTCTGCCTGGGATCAACTCCTTCTCCACCCTCCCCATGCCTTAGTTTTAAATATCATCGTCTCTAATGTGAGAATGCTATAAGCTCTTTTTCTTTTATTGCCTGTGTGTACATGTGCACGTGCGTGCACACACACACACTCCTATCATCTGATTTTTGAGTTTCTTCCTAAGGCGCTCTGTCCACCAGGTGGTACTATGAGTCATGCTCTCACCTTATTTTCCACTGAAAGTGATAAGAAACAGAACCATTTACCAATGGCAACTGTTTAGGTACCAGTCTTCCTAGAATAGATTAAGTGTTCTTTCTGCTCCCCCTATTAAAAACTATGCTCTATAGGGATCTTAAATTCGAACTTCTGAACTTCAGTGCAGCCATGTGAGTCCCCAAATCGTGCTTCTAATCATCAGGCCAGCTGCCTTGCTGGGACGGTGACTCTTAAAAGCTGTTTTTATATTAAGCCAGTAGCTTCTTTTTGATTATCTGCAAGTTATAATGAGTCATAGTTACTTAACTGAATAAATTGACAGCTTCCCTGTGCAAGGTGTTTTCACAGCCCAGTGCATTAGCACCCTAGGGTGATGGAGAGAAACAAGAAGCTTCTCTCCCCTGAGAAGAAGAGGCAGACAGAGCGAAAGGGGGAAGGAGAAGGGGTGAGGGGGAGAAAGGGGAAGGGAGACAGGCAGGAGGGAAGAGGAGCTGGGGGAGGAGGAGCAGCACGAGGGGAGAATGAATCAGTGAGGACGGTTCTGTTTTGCTGTTCACGTTCATATACAGCAGGTGCTCAACTACGTCATCCCGTCCTAATGATGAAGAAACCCCCCACCCCCAAGTGGACACCGAACAAAAGGGACCAAGGAGCCTGTCACTGATGCTCAGCGGGGGCTGCTGTAATTTTGATTTGTTGCAAAAGCAAAGGCCCTGGCCCGAGAGTAACGAGGGAGACGCCACAGTCCCAGAGCAGCTTTCTGCGGGGGGGCACCTGCAGACCCCATCACCAGCACCCCCATCCAAGGCTGTGGGAGCTTTCAGTGAGTTGCGTTGAAGAGGCTCAGCACTCGTGCAATATGGGGAACCCCTCAAACACTGTCACCACTGTCCCTTGTTCCACATGGGATGGCGTGAGTGCCACCCCACTGTCCTTATTGGGGGTTTAAGGACACGGGTATCTCCACCAGGGGCAGGGCCAGGCCAAGGGCTGCTGTCCCTCAGCACCTGGGCACTGTTTCTCACACAGTAGCGGTGGCCCCCCGTTACCTGCCTGTACCCGTGACCAGTGGCCTGTCCACTCGCCTGCTGTGGGGGCATCAGTGGACCCCACTGGCCGGGAGTCTGAGGCCGCTGTATCATTTCCAGGCGACCGGGAATCCAGAGTTGGAGAAGGGGGTCCTGCTTGCTGTCCTCCCAATCCAAACACCCCTCGAGGCTCTCCTTCCTGCAGCCTCTTGAAAGAATCATCTCGCCACAACTCAGCGCTGGGATGCCGCCTGGGACAGAGGTCGGAGCCTCCCTTCCCTGCAGCGGGCTCATGGGAGCGTTTGGCTGCCGACACCTGGGGGCAGAGGCGAGGCCAGAGCCCGCGTAGTCGCTCAGCAGTCCACTCAGATCACCTGCGGCAGCCTGACCCTGGCGGAGACGCAGCTCCAGAGCCAGTGATGAGGACCCACAGGGTGGCCCGGGTAGAGGGAGGCAGCTAATTGCCATTATCTAGTAAAACTAAAGGAGTGCTTCAAAAGAGATACTCAACTGCTTTTCTAGACAGTGCCCAGAGCAGGACACCCCAGTGCTGACTGGGGCGTGACACCAGCCATCACCGATCAGGCGAGGGTGGCGGCCACGACAGGGTAATGAGGCGCAGGCAAGACTGACAGCTCAGGGAGTGAACTTGGTCTCACTGCAGGGGCCACTGATACACCGTCATGCTTCTCTCCCTCCAAAGACGGTAGCTGCAGTCAGGACGCCCTGGGCCTCGCTGCAGCCAGTTCGGAGCAACCTTTTGAAGCAGCCAATTCAAACCATTACGAACTCTTCTGTGTGTGAGAGTCCATCCCGAGTCTCGCAAAATAGAAAACTCGCTAGATGCACACACCTGCTGTCTTGAGTATCGAGCGTTTAAATAATCTGCGTGTTTGCTCTCAAAAGAGACCCCACATCCCGAGGCTGCACAAGCTTCAAGCACCCCTGGCTGGGAAGTCAAACACCTCAAGTGGAGGACTGAACTGTGTCCTCACATGGACAGACGGACCAGCCCCGGAAATGAATTAAAGACAAATGAAAACAAATTAAAAAAAAACAAACCGAAAAAAACAATGCAGTGATGGCTGAGGCCCGATGCGGCTCCTGGGGTACACCTGGCGTTTCTAAGTGAGCCCCCATGCTTGCCACAGTCTCTTCCCAGGGAAAGCACCATCAGAGTCGCTCAGGTCCTGCTGACCTGTTTTTCCCATTCATATGCTCACCAGCAGGGCGGGCCTTTGGGGGGCTGCCGGGGAAGGTGCTGCTGGTAAGGACTTGGGGGTCTCAGTTCTCACCCCACTCTCCAGCCCAGGGTGTGGTGTGGGTACCTGATGAGGACGCACTGGTTGGTGGGGTGCTTCCACAGGCAGCGGTAGCACTCGTTGGCCACAGCAAAGACATGGGGGGGCAGCTCCCCCAGGTGGCACCGGCTGTAGCGCTCCATGGCCGCTCGCTCGTACAGGCCGCCGATGGGCTTGTAGGGGTTCACCGAGGCGATGATGGAGCCGATGAAGGTCTGCGGGGGACACAAGGACATTGGTCACACAGGGCTCTTCACTCCCCCAGCCAGGGACAGGGGGCGAGAGCATGTCTCCCCATGAGTTTTAACAGAACCCACCCGAGCATGGGTAAAGGGAAAGAACTTTGCCCCACGACAGACATTTCTCCTACACCTTTTTGGTAGCAAATCTTGTCCTTCTGCCCAAATGCACAGGGTCACTTCAAAAGAGCTGGCAGTGACATTTGAACGAGAGAAAGGAGACGGTGAAATGGCCTGGATCCAAATCCCTGTTCCTGGTGGCCCCCCACTCCTGTCCCCAGGAAGATGAAAGAACAGGAGGGACAATATGCTGGGGAGGGAGGGAAGCCAGTGTTTAATGCGAACAGAGCTTCTGCTGGGCCGGGGAGGAAGTTCTGGACGGAGACAGTTGCACTGCCGACGCATTTAATGCACTGCACTGTGTACTTAAGAACAGTCAAATGGTAATCTTGTCGTCTATTTAATCACAACCTGGACAAGACCATTTTGAGACTTACGCATCCTTTCAGGAATCTCAACCACCACCTGAACTTATCTGAAACTTAGCTGCTTGACAGTCTGACCTTCTAGAACAAAATCCAAGTCAGAAATCAAACAAAATCTTCAGAGCAGCAAAACAGGGGCTGGAGGGAAGTCACAGCTGACACTTTGATGCTGGGGTTCTCCAGCCTCCAGAATGCTGCAGCTGCCCTGTGGGGTTTTATATGACCGCCCCTCACACTGAGACACAAGGCTTCACCCCACTCACCCTTGTGACAGGCCTAGGAGCTGAGCCACACAGGATTTCTATATCTGTCTTTTAGATGAGGACACTGAGGCATATGGATAAACTTGTGTAAACAGTCCATAGTCAGCAAGTGGTAGAGGTGAGATTTGAACCCAGGCACCATGATTCCAGAGGCTTCATGCTCATTGGCAAGGTAGGACAATGTGGCAGAAACACAATGTGTAGGACAATGTGGCAGAAAAAGAAAAGCAGAAACACCAAAGGCCACACCTCCCCAGAGCATCTGTAACAGATGACTGCCATTTGTCATCACTTCTGTCCCTGGGGACTGCCAGCAACGCCAAGCCAAGTATCATATGTTCCGTAAAACTGCTTTCCAATGGAAGGTCTACAATAGGGTTTGGAACCAAAAAAGGCTCGAGATGTAAGAGATGTTACTACATGCCCTAATAACTCCACTCCTAAGTGTAGATCCCAAAGTATTAAAACACAGGCACCCCAACAAATACATGCTACACCCACAGCATCATTCACAAGAGTCACAGGAGGAAACTCCCCACAGGCCAGTTACCAGCTACCCCTGCGGCAGCACGTCTGGGGACCGTGCCACAGCTGAGTTGCGCCCTCTCCCATGAGGAGCTGAACATCACTGCTTCTTGCAATCAAGTCTTGGCTTTTTCCATTTTGATGGAAAAACAGAAGAGCACAAGACAGGCCCATGTTCTCAAACCTGAGCGAGCGTACCTGCTCTCAGATTTTCTTTAGGATTGCTGGCCTCCTCCCTTCTTTCAATCTCCACTAACCCCTCGCCCCCCAGGCCCCTGAGCCACCCTGCTCCTCCATCTGCCTCTTCTCAAGCTTGCAAGGCAGCCCAGGTGGGACCATCTGAGGGGGCTCCATGCAAAAGCCTGTCTGTCGAATAAAAGGCTGAAGGCTTTTTGTGTGAAGGAGCTGAAGGAATCTACAATGACAGAGGACTTGGCTACATCGTTATCTACCTGGAAGATATCATGCCTGGGTTCCTTTTACTTTTCACTGTATTCACCATGGACTCATCCAGTTATTAAAAAAAATCCAAAATGATCAACATATTTAAGGCTTTTATCATTTAGGTGAGTTAGGAGCATGTCAGAGATGCCGGATGGCTCTGCACGTCCACATGCTTTTCAACCAGACCGTGAGTTGAGTGCTCCTTACCAGACGCCCCAGGTCCCGCCAAGCTACTGTCCTAAGTCCCTAAGTCATGGAAAAAGCACTTTAGGGTTTTTACTGTGAGTGGTGCCTGGGCCTCCCCACTAGCATTCCTGAACCCACCCAAACCACGTGTGCAAAATGACAAGGCCACAAAAGTGGGGGTTCCTGATGGCATAAACAAAGACAAATTATGTGAAATCTCAGGGGCCTGTCAGCCAAAATAAGTATGGCCAAGACTCTCATTTTCCCCCTGACTACCTCAAACATGCCCCTTCGTGTGGGTGATTTTGTCCCTGAAATGAAATGCTGAGGGCAAGCGACCTACCGAAGAAGGAAAATCCAACAGGCAACGTAGGGTGAATGATTGTCAGGCTTTTCTGCCCTCCTGCCATTAGGGCTGATGATGGATGCCCGCGGTCCTGAATGCATGCCTGGCGGCGGGCGCCTGGAGTGGGGTGTGGTGTACGTCAGTGGGTTCATCTGGGCTGAGACGGGGCTTATAAGGGCGGTGGCGCAGAGCAGAACCAGCAAAGAAAGAGGACAAGCGAGAGAGCATTATGAAGGAGAAGCAGGAGAGAGAATGACCACGAGAGAGGGCCGGAGAGCCCAGAAAGAGTGAAGAGTCGCCAGGGGCCCGGGAGGCCTGCCCGCCTCCTGCCCCCCCGACCCCCCTGCCTGCCGTGTACCTGGTAAAATCCCAATAAAAGCCTTAGAAAGCCACCGAGGGCTCCAGGACTCTCCCTCACCCGTCTGCTCGGATCCCAGAGAACCTGCTGTCATCCTGCCGCAAGAGGCAATACTAAAAAATGGCAACTGGGGAGCGGAAGGTAGAGGGAGGAATAAGGAAAACTCAAGTGTGGTATCAGTGAAAATGGTGACGGGGGTGGGTGGGGAACTGAGTTATTAATTAATGGCAAAGATAAAACAGTACTAAGAAATCCTCAGCACCGCGAGAGCACATTTCTCACATGCTGGCACCAGCTTCCACTCCGTCAAGGTGCCCTCACCCCTCCCCAAACGCCCGCGAGAAGGCCACGCCGCGTACGCCCCGGACACGCGCTGGTCTCAGACAGGAGGTGGGGCCAGGTCCTGGCATCCCCGGACTGGATTCCAAATTCCACAAAGAACAAATAGCCTGGTCATTTGAGCGGCTTCTCAGAAATAGAAAGTACATTCTATTTTGAAGCACATAAAAAATTTTCTAGTCAGAAAGTTCCACATAACTCACTAAAAACACACTTCCTTGCCCATTTAAAAAAAAAAAATAATTCAGAACAGCTGTAGTACATATTGCTTTAAAACCTGGGGGAGAAACTCACTGCATTTCTTCAATCCAAGATCCACCGAGTCAAGGTTTATATAAGGGTTATGTATGAGGGTGTCCTCCTTAGTATCAAACTCTGTACCCCTCAAAGAATCAGGGACAATGAAGAAAATGAGAAGTGACCCGCAGGCGTCAGACACTGCTTGTGGATACGGAGACCCAAGGTCTATGCTGTTACCTGACTATTCCCACCGAGAACCACCCAGAAGGCCAGGATTGGTCAAGTCAGAGACCTGGAGATGCTGAGCCTGGAGCTACCTGCCCTCCGCACCTCTGATCCCCAAGGCCCAGCCTCTGATCGGTCCTGACAGTCTGTCCTGTGAGCCCACGTGACAGCCACATGAAGGTGCCACATAAATCAGAGGTATTTATTATAGTTTTTGTTCATGAAAAGAAAACCCCAACTGCTTTTCATCATGTGGCTCTGAAAAGTTGGATGTGGACCAAGTCCCGAGAAATGCAGCGAGAAGCAGGTTGAAGTCAGTGCATGGCACTTTCCTGAAGGGAAGAGCTTGTCAAGAAGAGGACCCAGACAGAGTCACTGCCTCCCACCAGCCTCCTCTCCCCTCCCCTGGAACATCTCAGCCACGACCTGATGGCTTCTTTCTCCACTCTACCCTGAGTGCACTCTGCTTTCAAGCGACAGATGCAATTATTCCACAGCCCCTGGACAACTGTGCTTGCTGTCTCTGCACTTGAGCTCAACACGGACAAGCACAGCTGCCCCAGGACACTGGTTGTGGCTCATGTTTTACCCAAACGATGAACCCAGAAACCTTGGCATCATCCTCTGGAAATTCAGCCTAGTCGTCCTCCAAACCCAAACACTTAGATTCACCTTTTCTATCTTTCATACTCAAACCTGCTCAGGATTGGTTCCGAATCCTGTTATTTCCCATCTGGTTTGCTGATCTTGCCTTCCAGGCCGAACATCTTTGTGCCTACCCATCACCCTGAAGCGAGTGAACTTTCCAGAGCTCATGTTGGAAGTGGCCCTGCCAGTCTTCACAGATCAATTCAAGCTCGGTGACTTCCACGCAGGGCCCTGCCTCACCTGTCCTTGACACCTGGCCAGCCAGCCGCATGCAACCTTCATCCGGGCATCCTGAATGCCCAGCGAGTGGACAGAAACCTCACCTGAGGTCCTGTCTTTGTACCAATTGATCTTCTAGAAGGCAGGGATGAGCCACCTCCTCTTTGGCCAAATTCCCCCTGAATGCTTCACCCAGAGCCTCAGCTGGGAATCATTTCCAGGCCCACTCTCACCTCCTGCTTCAGACGCTCGTTCTCTGCTCCAGTAAGTGCTTACCTCACACTCATCACCACCCTGAGCGACTGCCAATGTCTGCTCGGGCCTGGCTTCCCCAATCACCTGGTGATCCCGGAGGGGTAATGCTGTCACGTGTTCAGTCTTTCAAGAACTATCACTGAGCAAGAGCCCCCCATCTCTGCAGCCTGACGCACAGCCGGCAGCGCTGAACCAATGTAGACACATGGGGCCCGCACCAGACCAACTCGCTGCCATGTAAATGCTGGGGCCCCCTGCGGCCCCCCACCTTCCACATCACAACACCACCTGCACTGTTGCCCAGGGAAACAATCAAAGTCATCCTCAGAGAATTAAAAGAACCTGCTAAGCACTCAAGTGTGTTGAAAAGACCAGATCACAGCAGATAACTCAGTTCCCCCTGAAGTCAGGCTCATCAATTTGGAAGTGACATTTCCACTTAA